AACGGGACGGAAAACATGAAATTTTGCAATAATCTTGCGCCACCCTTGCACAAAACGACGATCATTTTTCTAATTTCATAGATAACAAAAGACTGGATTTTTTCTACATAACCCCCCCCCCTGACTTTAAAGCTGGATCCGCCCCTGGTCCTGAAAATGTTTCCATTTTTTCCTAAATCACCCCCTTTAGGGTAGAGCTACAGGAAATAACGCAAATGGCTTTAGACTCAGAAACTCACAAATTTTTTCTAGTTATTTTCTACATTTATCGACCTGAGAACACGCATTGATAAGGGGAAGATGCATACAAGTGTGAAAGTTGCAACATTTCATAGTTTTATGAGAAAAGTCCTCAGTGAACGATAACTATGAAACATCCCTATTACTTGTTGAACATTTAATTTGCTTAAACACATATCATTATTGAATTATTAAACCGCGAAGGTCAAATTCGAGGTAATTATTCAAAAGTTCCACGGCAGGCATCCGAACGCCCGGGAATTTTGTTTTACTTATACCAAACAGAATGCGTGACATTCAAGCAAATGCTTCCCAGAACTTTGTCTAGAATTAATTGATAATTCATTGTTGAAACTTTCCTATCATTTAACAGCATCGTTTAAAGACTTCAATTAATAGGAAACACATAGATATATAAACCAAGAGAATGAGAAGAACCGCTCTAAAGACGGAAAGATTTGAAAATTGCTCAAAATCCGCACACAACCTTAATAATCGGAGATTTATTTTTTAAAGAACCATGCGTTTTTAAAGAATGTAGTCATTCGTAGGCACGTACCAGTAAAACTTGAGCATCCGCATTTTGTTGCCAAAAGACACTTCCAGCACCATTTTAACGTCACCAATGTGCAAAAGTAAAACGGGGTCGCAACTGGGAAAACACTAATCAGCAAACACTTCCGAAAACAAAACACAAAAAAACACCAACCGATCACATTCCAGCACTATTTTCGATTGGGCATTCCTTCGTTGGTACAACCTCGAAGAACTGACTGACTCTTTAAGGCCCAACCGGCGGTTGATTTTCAGCACCAAGACAAGTGGGTGTAACGGACAGGTACAAACGAAGGCAGTTTTGGTAAGCCAGCTCAAGTGGTACCTGTGGGGTACCATGAGGCCGAATCAATATTTACTTCCAATGGGCCAGAGCGTTTCTTCAGGCATTCCTCAGGTATGGGACCGTTTGTTTGCTTGGTCCACGCTGCCAGGTAGAGGTATGAAAGACATTTTTACGATTCTCCGGGTTGCTGGAGCGTGGCTTGTACAGAACCGGAATTTCTGTTTCCTTTATTTATTTTTCATATTTTATGGATAACAAGCCAGGCGCGAATGTGCAGTCTACAATCAATTACTTATATGGAGCGTTTTCTCATAGTCAACACTCTATTCCGGACCACAATGTTACTTGGTGCAACTGAAAATTGTCGATTTGTGCGACTTTCACTGTTAAACGTTTCTCCAGTCTGGTAACAAATTCGTTATTTAATGCGTCGTCGTTAAGACGCTGCAATTTCAGTTTGAAATTAATTCATTAGGCCCATTTAAAGGGTTTGTGCTGGTGAAAATCAAATTTTGTTTCTCTTATAAACTTTTCCAAAAAATTATAAATGTTTTCAAAACTCACTAATACTAAAACCGCAGTTGCTAGAACCAAAATCCATTTTTTTTGAATTAGTCATTCATCTTCAAAAAAAACTGCCAGTTGCGATTTTTTGTGGGCGTTTACAATTTTTGAAGAAATCAACGACGCGTTTTTCGGGTTTTTAAGCCCTCGTGAAAAAGAGTTTCGTCTTGACGTTTCGCAGGCACGAGTGACTTGCATCTTCAGAGGTGGTTGCTGCACCGAAGTTTGTAAAAACTGTTCTTTTTTCAAATTTGCGTTTTTTTAAGGAAAATTCAAAGCACAAGATAAATTTCCTGATAATAAGCAGAAGTTGTTAAATTCCTAGAAAAATCTGATATTTAATGTTAATTAATTGCTGTTAATTAAACTGATTATGTTGCCAACCGATGACGATTTTTTAAACGAAGCTAATTCTACAAACTTTTCTGTAAGTGCTGCCTGTGCAGTTGTGCATCCTTTCAGCATGGTTCATGCAGAGCGGATTTTTGGTGATTTTGAGACGAAAAACACAGCGACAATTTCGAAATCCTCCCACTAAAATC